ATAAGCTTCCTTAAGAAGCAAACACCTAATAGGGAAATCCATCAAGACCACATACTTGTGAAATTGCTGGTTCTTTATAACCAGCTTCTCTGGAAGTCCCTCTTCATCATCTAACTGGTCCATGGGCTCCACAGTCACAGGACGAGGAAATCTGGGAGAAAGAACAAAGTTCAGTGTTAATCAAATCATACCCCACCAGGCTTCTTCTCTACACATGCTGCTGGCACAATGAATTAGCTAGGGCTCAGGACTGGACAAACACTTCTGAAGGAATTTTTTATACCTAATAGCATTATAGAAAATGGGGGTTCATAGGACAAAAATCAGGCTTCAGATCTCTGAATACAGCCTCAAAAAGATGTTCCAAGTAGGTAGGTACAGTACTTAAGTACAGCCTAAACATCTGATTATCTACAGGACTCTGAGAAATGACTTGTGGCAAACACTAAGAGATACTACATGCACAAATCAACTTTTCAGAGCTCTAAAACTTCAAAGTAAAGAGAGACTTAACGCTGATTAAATGACAACCTAGTCAATGACTAAAAAGGTTTTTTCATAATTGTCATCCTACTTCTATCAATCTAAGATTATAGTAAAAATCGTATGAGAAAGCTCAATTAGTACCAAAAGGCTTTTTTTTTTTGGAGACAGAGTCTTGCTCTGTTGCCCAGTCTAGAGTGCAATGGTGCGATCTCAGCTCACTGTAGCCTCTGCCTCCCAGGCTCAACAGATTCTCCTGCCTCAGCCTCCTGAATAGCTGGGATTACAGGCACCCACCACTGCACCTAATTTTTTTAATTTTTCTTTTCTTTTTTTTTTTTAATTATAATATTCCATATAGTAACACTAATTTTTTTTAGTAGAGATGGGGTTTCACCATCTTGGCCAGGCTGGTCTCAAACTCCTGACCTCATGATCCGCCCACCTTGGCCTCCCAAAGTGCTGGGATTACAGGCGTGAGCCACCGTGCATGGCCTAGTACCAAAAGTCTTCAAATGAACACAGAAACATGGTTACTAAAGGCTAACTCTCCAGACCGTGGAAGGAATCAACAATCTAAGGTCTATGTCTGAAAATGACCCTCACTTACGTGGTTAGCAGGAAGGAGCCTTCACTGCATCTGTCCAGAGCTTTCCGAGCAGCTGGCTTCCCTGAGAACTCAACAATGCCTTTTCCCGAGGGCCTTCCTCGATCATCCACAATCACTACAGCCCTCTCCACCTGGCCAAACACAGAAAAGGCTTCTTCCAGCAGTTCGTTGGACACATACTGAGGAAGGTTTCGAACTGTAAGGGATGCACTATGGCAGGCAAAGCGCACACGCAGCTGCTTTCCACGGAGTGGCATATTGTCCAGCTCTACTTTGGCAATCTCTGCTAGGGTTCGTGTTTCCTAGGAAGCAGAGGAAAATTAGAATAACTCAGTTTGACAAAGAATACCTTAGCAGCCATCAACAGTCTAAAGAAGTATAGTTCAGTAACAAAATCTCCCCCCTAAAAACTTGACAAGCATACAAAGAAACAAGTGAAAGAATTAATGGTGTGCTTCAGCTCTTTGGCCACCCTAGTTGCTTCTGATGGCCTTACAATAAATCACATGTAATTCTAAAAGTTAATAACACAGGTGGTCATCAATTTCATAGGTATTATTCTCCCAAGTGACAACAGGTCATCCAGAAAACAAAGACCATTGGCCGGGCGCTGTGGCTCACAAGGTCAGGAGATTGAGACCATCCTGGCTAACAGAGTGAAATCCCGTCTCTATCAAAAACACAAAATATTTGCTGGGCATGGTGGCACACACCTGTAGTTCCAGCTACTTGGGAGGCTGAGGCAGGAGAATTGCCTGAACCCAGGAGGTGGAGGTTGCAGTGAGCCGAGATCACACCACTGCACTCCAGCCTGGGCGACAGAGCATGAATCCGTCCCCAAAATAAATAAATAAAATAAAATATTCTGGGTGGTGGATTTTAGGGTGGTCTTTGTTTTCTTTTTTTGAGACAAGTCTTGCTCTGGCACCCATGCTGGAGTGCAGTGGTGCAAACTCCACCTCCCGGGTTTAGGCAATTCTCCTGCCTCAGCCTCCCGAGCAGGTGGGACTAAAGGCGCACACAACTACGCCCAGCTAATTTTTGTATTTTTAGTAGAGATGGGTTTCAGCATGTTGGCCAGACTGATCTCAAACTCCTGACCTCAAGTGATCCGCCTGCCTTGGCCTCCCAAAGTGCTGGGATTACAGGCACGAGCCATCGCACATGGCCTAACTTTTGCTAGCTATGTACCAGAATCATGTATACCCTCCAAGAAGCCTCTTCAGAACCATAAAACTTGATGGGATCCCTTTCATATTACTAAAGAGAAATGTGATACCCAGAAAAAATGACTTGCCTTTATAGTCTAGAGTTAGCAGCAAATTGGAATGAAAACCAGTTCTGACCACCCCATCCAGTGATCCTGCTGTCACATTATTCTCATCCATTTATGAAGGTAGGCACTGTCTAAAAATGTTTTCCTCTCACATAATTCCCTAAATTAAACCAGATTTTAAAATAAGGTCTACACTTACAAATGGTTAAGATGGTAAATTTTATGTTATGTATGTTTTACCATCATTAATTTCCTTTTTTTTTTTTTTTTGAGACAGACTCTCACTCTGTGGCCAGGCTAGAGTGCAATGGCGCCATCTTGGCTTACTGCAATCTCCGTCTCCCGGGTTCAAGAGATTCTCCTGTCTCAGCCTCCCAAGTAGCTGGGACTACAGGCGTGCGCCACCACGCCCAGCATATTTTCAGAGAAGGGGTTTCACCATGTTAGCCAGGATGGCCTCGATCTCTTGATCTCGTGATCCGCCTGCCTCAGCCTCCCAAAGTGCTGGGACTACAGGCATAAGCCACCATGCCCGGCCACCATCAGTAATTTTCTCTATCGCCCAGGCTGGAGTACAGTCCTATGGTCATAGCTCACTGTAGCCTGAAACTCCTAGGCTCAAGCAACCCTCTCGTCTCAGTCTAGTTAAGTAGTTAGGACTACAGGCACACACCATGCCTGGCTAATCCAATTAAAAAATTTTATTTAGCCGGGCGCGGTGGCTCACGCCTGTAATCCCAGCACTTTGGGAGGCCGAGGCGGGTGGATCACAAGGTCAAGAGATCGAGACCATCCTGGTCAACATGGTGAAACCCCGTCTCTACTA